TGTTGGAAGCCGGCGTACGGCAATACCAACAAACATCCTATCGTCTTCATTTTTCATCAGTGTCATCATCGTCATCTACCCGCTTCAAAGCACAAGCCGTCTGGCCTCCTCCGCTATCTCTCCACTACCATGTGCTTATTTGTAAGGAAAGCTTGATATGTGCAATTTTCCAATGCTGTGGTTTTAATATTCGTATTTCATCAAAAATATACTTCCATAGATAGAGAAATAGAGATATAGATTTATATATATATACATGATCGTTGAAATACACTGTTCTTGAATCATAATGGATACTCAAGTCCCAAGCCGCTTATTTGATATGGACAGGGACAGTGAGACAATTGGAGGCGGCACACTGAAGACTGTTGTAAAATCAGGATTTTGGAATGTTGGTTGATTGAAGACACATTTTTGGACAGGTGGTACGTAAGGGAACGAGCAATTGAATGAAGGATTGAGTGAATGAGTGTGGTTCACGAGCTCCAGAACGCCAGCCTCTTGTCACTTGACAGTCTCATCGTCAAGCTTTCCTGTTTTTCGCCTGCAGCAATGAGTCCGTCTTTGTAGCGTTTCGTGGCTGCCTGAGTTCTTACCTTCGTGCGCGGCCTGGTATACGAGGAATTTGTTCCAAGTCCAGTGTTCTTCATTCCGACAGTCTGCAAAACCGTAGCTTTGTGGTCGGATTTGGATGTGACTATCTTGGCGCTTCTCCTTTCAGTCACCTGCATTCCTGCAATCCTCTCATTGGCGTTGTCCATGGTCGTGACTTGTTGTTGATATTCCGTTCCACGCGCACAGACGCGCGCGCGCGCGCGTGCGCACACACTTATGGATATGCATACTGACTTGACAGCGGCGCCACACGCCGGCCTAGGGTTCCATTTCCTAAGAATACAAGTACGAACCCCTGGATCCTGGAGGTCTTCAAGAGGAATGGTGGCCCAAAGCGTAGGTCGGAAGCGAAGCGACAGGTTGACGTCGTAGCGTGCAAGTCTGCGGAGCTCACTAGCACTTTACCAAAGATTAAAAACTTGCAGGTACGCCGAGTTGATCAGACTCGGTATCCCGTGATTGTGGTAGCTTCGTTGAGCGCGGTCCGACAATCACGCCGCACTCCCCTGCTGTAAAAATCCAAAGCAAAAACAATCCGAAAGGATGCCTGTGATTCCAAGGGTACACACACACTCTGACATTGGTTTGCTGTTTACTCAATTCCCACGATGAGAAGGAAGGCGATGGAACGGCATGGTGAAAGGTCCAAAGACTTGAGGGTGTTTCAACATTGAAGTTTCTCATCTGCAGTGGTGCGACGGCAGCGCGCGCGAGCGGCAAAGGAAAGGGTTTAGGGGAAGTAGCGTGAACCACCATGGAACCAAAGAGGAAAGATTGGACAGCGTAAGCAACAGTTCATGGAACAGGTACACAGTGGGGCGTCCCCCACTGCATCAGCACCTGCTGGCATCCTCTTCGTTGGACGGGAAATGCCAGAGGTGTCCCGTCCCCCTGTTTATCAAGCAGCACCCTTTGGAACAGGAGTTGACACACACACACACACGGTGCCGCTTTGCGGCGCTCGTGCGAACGACCTGAATAGGCACCTAAAAAGCCTTAGAAACAAAAGAAAGAAACGCAGAAAGAGCAGCGCTAAGAGGGCAAGAGAGAAAGATAGGTGTAGAAAAAAGTGAATACTTAGCCCTTGAGTGGGGCAGGGAAACGAGCCTCAAGAACAACCTAACAAGCCTGAGAGAAAGCCCAAGAAACGACCGAAAGCGTAAGAAAGAAAGGGGGGGGCAGGGAGGGGGTGTATGTAGCATGTGTGTGTCCGTGTGTGTGTATGACTACTTAGCACTCTAGAATTACTGACTACTTAGCCGAGGCGAATTAAATGCAATAGTTAGGGAGCGGGACTTTAGTCTTAGACCGCCCGGGTAGAGAAGACTAGAACAGGAACAACAAAGGGAAAGGCACCGACACACAAGTGTGTCGAGTACCATTTCCCTGTGTTGCCCTAATTGGGTGGGGAGTAGAACCCAGCGGGGGGGGGTTGGGAGCCCTGCCTCAAGTGGGGTGAACTCCGTTTTTAAGCCCGGGGCGGCTGTCAAATTCGTTTTTAAGCCCGACGGCTGTTGGATCAGTTAATTCAGTTATGAAACGGTGGAAGTCCAAGCGCAGTAAGACATCCATTGAATGATTTCCGGTATGAAAACGGCGCCTCCTTGCGGAGGATCACACCCAGCACCCAAGTGGGACGGCTGAGCGGCTCACACTCTGACATTGGTTTGCTGTTTAATCAATTCCCACGATGAGAAGGAAGGCGATGGAACGGCATGGTGAAAGGTCCAGAGACTTGAAGGTGTTTTAACATTGAAGTTTCTCATCTGCAGTGGTGCGACGGCAGCGCGCGCGAGCGGCAAAGGAAAGGGTTTAGGGGAAGTAGCGTGAACCAGCATGGAACCAAAAAGGAAAGATTGGACAGCGTAAGCAACAGTTCATGGAACAGGTACACAGTGGGGCGTCCCCCACTGCATCAGCACCTGCTGGCATCCTCTTCGTTGGACGGGAAATGCCAGAGGTGTCCCGTCCCCCTGTTTATCAAGCAGCACCCTTTGGAACAGGGGTTGACACACACACACACACCCCAGGTATTGAGGGTTCGATTTGATTGCGCCAAGCTCTGAAGAGGCGTCGGGCAAAAAAACTAATCACAAGAGGTAGTATGCAAGACGGTCTCAACATCTGATTCCAAGGGCTACATTCAAGATACTAAGCGTTCGATTTGATTGCGCCAAGCCCTGAAGAGGCCTTGGACAAGAAAGAAACCCAAGGAATCCAGGCAGCGTGCAAGCCGGCTTAACCATCTGGTACATGTTTGTGAAGTCAAAAAGTTCAAAGCTCCATAAGGGAACGCGTGACTGCAGTGAACTAGCCGACAAGTGCATGTCTGCAGACCACATGAACAAACCAGCCTAGAGGAGTGTGACTATATGTGGATTCGGGAGAAATGCATCTCTCCCGATAGGCGGCGTGAAAGCGTACGCGCGCGCCTTAAGGACACCTGAACGCGCATCGGAAGGAAAGACATGAAGAACCACGTGAACAAGCGTGTGGAGGGCATGAAGAGGAAGGCAAATGAAGGGGCACAACTGATGAGCCCGACCTAACGAAATGTGGGGCGCCTTTCAACCCGGTTTCATTGCGAATGCGCACGGGCACGCCAAGGGCCAAACGAATGCCCGCGCGAAAGAACGATGACCAGGTTTGAAGGCGGGAACAACATGAAAAGAAAAATGAAAAGGAAAAGGACAGTGTGATTGCACGCGAAAGAGGAATCAGATGGAAGGGAACAAACAGGACAGAGCCAAACCATACTAAACCTCACTACAGCAACCTTGGGGCGCCTATTGTCGCTTTGTGTGTGTGAGCTTGTTTTGCGCCGCGCAAGCCGTAGCTGCATTAATGCAGGAGCCCAGTGGCTGGTGTGCAGAACGCCCAAGCTTGCAGCCCCATTAATTTCGAAGGAGGGGCAATCACATCGGCGGCCCCGCACCGAGGTAAATGATGCCGAATCTCCAGCGTCCGTCATCTTCTTCACCGAGCAAAGGTCTCCTCGGCCTCCCTCAAGATGCGTTCTCGAAGACGTTCAACATGTCCCAGACCTGGACTTGGTGCAGCATGTTGGCCTCTGGCCACCTCCGATTCACGAACATATGACTCACCCTTGGCCGCTTGCTGCACCGAAGCGCTCCAGAAGGGATTCACCGTCCCCAATGGTCCCACCGGAGTGGTAGGATAAGGCTCCAGCACCCGAGGATGTAGGTCATCACGTCCCGCTCCAGCCATGTAAGGTGAAGCTCCCATGCGCTCCGTTTCCACCCCGCTCTGCCGCAAAGGAGTGCCTGCCGCCAGCCCGTGCCCTGGGAGAACTCCACATCCGGTACCGGCGTGACCTCCCTGATCGCCGGGCCGAAGAAGAGGATCCAGTAGGGTCGGCTGGGAACTTGGCCTTTGAAGAGCATGTTGCAACACTTCAAATGACTGCCGAACTGCCTCCTGCAAATGCCCAAGTCCCATCGCTTGGCCTCTTGGGTCACTCAGCAACTGTCGAACTTCTTGTTGTCCTTGGTGACCACTCGATGCAGCCACCATTGGAGGGCCTCCCTGGCCCAATTCAACCCCAGCAGCGCCGCCCAGCCGCTTCATCTCAGCTGCTCTCACAGGCATTGATTGCGCCCTCATGGCCTTGCCCTGCATTTCCTCCTCGATGAGCGCATCCAACCGGGGGTCAGCCACACCAATCTCCACCGGTGGAGCTGCCGCCTCTTTCCGCTCTCGCGAGCGCAGCTGCCGGCGTCGACGTTGTTCCATGGGGACCAACACTTCCCCGTCCTCGTGACAGCGGAAGGTGGACTTGGAAAAAGAAAAAAGTCACCTTGGGCTCATAACCTGTGGTTATGACATGGGGTGCCCAGCGCGTCGGGCTTTTCCTTGAGCCAACGACAGTAACACCAAATTGGTGTGTGTGTGTGTAAACCCTCGTAGCGCTTGGCTTTCTACGAGATGTTGTTGTACACTTTTCGATTTGTGCACTCTGTACTTCCTGAATCACAGAAACAAACACTGCTACCAAACTGGTTTGTGGAGCCAAGAAAGCACAACATTCAATCAAATACTTCTACCAAAGTGGTCTGCGGCGCCAAGAAAACACCAAATTCAATCAACTACTGCTACCAAAGTGGTTTGTGGAGCCAAGAAAGCACCAAAATCAATCACTGTTATCGTTTTGGCAAATTCTGAAATCTAATGAAATCTAGGGAACTGCCTCCTTTACGCTGGTTTCTTTACAATCTGACGTGAGTACAGTGGGTATCCGGCTCAGTCTGCCTTACCGCCACCAGCTATCAGCGCCTCATCTCTCCAGTATGTTTTGAACCTGAGTCTCTAGAAGGGGGGAAGCGGAACCCAAAATGAAGCAACAGAGTCTTGAAGGCCGGGCCGGGGATCCTTCGGCGAGAAGACTTTCGGCGATCAAGGGGGTGACGGGGTGGATGAAAGGATAAGGTCAAAAAACGCGCGCCTTTGTTGGGCCAGTGCCATGTCACTAGTTTCTTGTGGGTGGTACACGTAGAACTCTCCGATATCCTTTGATCTGATGTGTCTAGTCGTTTAAGTTGATTCTGATGGCGTTGGATTCAAAGCATGATGATTTTCCATATGTTATAGTAGAGGTTATGAGATTGTATTTCTTCGAGTAGTAGTCGCCAAAAACCAGCATGTTGTCATCGGTGTAGAATTCTGAAAAATGGATGCCTGGGATTGGCCCTCGTTGTTTTGGCGTGTTGAGAATTGTCGCGGCGTCGCTGAACATGGCTGCCAGGAGAGAACAACTGAATAGCGTGATAGAGGGCATCTCCGTCCTATTCCAGAACATTGAGCCCATTCGTCCAGCGGATATTCTCAATACCCGAGTAGGTTTCGTTTGTCAACTTTGCCCACTGCCAGCTTCACATCTAGTAGCGCGATGATGAGATTAGTCCCCGCTGGTTCTGAATTGTCCATGAATCTATGCGCAGTTATGGCGTCTGAATTGGATTTCTTTGGTCTGAAGCCAATGCGACTGGCTTGTGCCCATGGGATCAAGTTTGCAATATACGGTTCTTAATCATCGCAGCAAATAATTTGTACAGGACTTGGAGCAATGCGATAGGTCAGAAATTTTGCATTTTGGGGGGGGTCGCCTTTTATGAACCGATATTATGTTTGCCAATTGTGACTTATCTAGACATACATTGCCGTAAAAGTTGATGTATATGTCAAGGAGTTTGCCTCGATTGTCATGGCGCAACAATCTGATGAGCTCTGCTGGACAATCGCCGGGCCCAATACTTTTTGTGAGCCAATGACCCTGTTGAGATCTTGCAGTGCAAAGTCGGAGTCGACCATCGTGCTGACTTTGTTGTGCAAGATAGGACTCTCGCAGTAAAGAGTTTAAATCGGTGTGATTGGGTGGGAGCCCATTGTACTTCAGAAAGGTATCTGGCTGCTTCACTTGCAAAGCTGGATTCTTGTCTTAAGTTACCTTCTGCTTTCGTGTGTTTGAGTGGAGCGCGCAATGTGCACACTAGGTGCGTGGCAACCAGAGACCACTTGATCTTGAGTTCAAAGGCTACGGCCGCTGTGGCCCACTCCGCCTTGCGTAGCGGCGTTACGTCCGCTATGGACACCTTCTGGCATAAAAGCCTGCTCCGGCCGATACCAAGTTATCACATCTCAATCCACGTCCGCTGTGGACTCCTGCTGCTGCTTGCGCGCAACCACTTCACCCCCCAGTTCGACTGGCGCCACGGAGGGCGCTACTTTGGGTTCACTCCGGGCTCTCGCGGGGAGAGACACACACAGGATATTGAGCACGCCAACAGCCCCTGACGAGGCCTCCGAGAAAAATGAAGCCCACATGATGAAGCCAGGTAGTATGCAAGAGGGTCCAGCCATCTTCAAGCACAAATTCCTAAAGTCCACAATTTCCAAGTTTCAGGCTCCAAAAAAGAGGAATGCGTGACTGCAGTGAACTAGCCGACGCCAGCCTCGTCACTAGTGGAGAGTGCGACTACAAACATCACATGGATTCCAAGTCCGGAATCCATATCGATTATTCATAAGGGCCTCTTGGTTGGACTGCCAGGCAGTCCCCCTGCTTTAAAACAAAAAGGAAGAAAAGCAGAAAGGCTCCCTCTGATTCCAAGGGTTACACTCTGACATTGGTTTTCTGTTAACTCAGTTCCCAAGTTGAGAAGGAAGGTGAGAGAAACGTAAGGTGAGTGAGTCGGCGACAACAGTATGGTTGAACATTGTTCGCAAGTGGCCTCGAAATCGATCTGTACAATCGGTGCGGTGACGAGCTCAGCTGCAGGAAAGTGGGTTTAGGGGAGGAAACATGTAAGGACCATGGAAACAAACCGATCAAATTGAACAGCTTGATCAACAGTTCACTCGGCAGGTACACGAGAAAGCGTCCCTTCTCGCTTCACAATCTCAAACCACCGTCTTCGTTGGGCAGTGGATGGAATGAGATTCACTACACACACACACACACACGCATGCACTCTCATGTTGGCTGTTCCTGGCCTTGTTTGTCTTTCTAGTCTTCTTCACAGGTGCCTCCGCAGCATCCTGGCAAGGGCAATCTTCACCCAAATAAGACTAGATGTATATATTCTGTATACTCAATCGCACCTACAGTATATCGTATGTAGTCTTGCGAACTATTTAGTAGTGCTTTTGGACTTATCCAATATCACACGAAGTCAAAAACATGATGCGCAGCCCGTGAAACTCTGTGAAACATGGGAATCGTTATGGGAGAAAAGGGAAAGACACTTGAACATGATTCATCATCATTCCAGGCGAGGTGATGGACTTTGGTGCTGGACTTCAGCTGCACATTCTGCCTGGTCCAGTGCTCGCTTCTCCTTCTTCTTCTTCAAGCTTTTCACCTGAGAAAAACGACATTTCGTCCAAACCACTCAGGTTCCATATCTTTTTATCCTTTCTTCAGCCACGGCATGACAGGCTTGTGGTGGTCAAACATAGAATAACAACAAAAGCATGTAAGGGTAAGGGCACCTTGAATAATGATGCCTTTGAATCCCTTTGAACGGACCCTGGCCTTACATTATGCTTTTTCCGCTGCCAAAGACAACCCTTTAATTTAAGCATGCTTTGACAAGTGTGGAGTTAAGACGCCTTGGCTTTCCTGAGTGGCTCTGTCGAGTCCTGGCAATGACGCTCCGAGGTTAAACGGACAACCCAGCAAACACTGGGCTCGTCATAGATGTTGCTTCCATCTGGTTTCCAGTTTCCACTTGAAACCTTGCAGAGCTTCTTGCTGAGTACGCCAAACACGAGCACGTGCTTGCTGAACTAAGAGTCTCATTAAAGTCAACATATACAAGCGGCCTCTGAATTCCTCAGTAGGGCTTGGAGTGATGTGCAAAGATATAAGGTAGTCACGCATGCGGGATCAGCTAGTTCATAGTTACTACAAGTATGTAATCTGCTCCCATTGTTGCAGGACACGCTTTTGTTTCTGACAGCGCGTTAATCGATCCATTTGCAAAGCAAAAAGGTCCTGTGTAGAACGGGCTTGCAGAACTGTTCTGTCTAATTTGGCACATTAGGCAAAGACCGGAAATCCTTGCATGGCAATGAATTGGAGCATTCACGTAGCCTCATGCCTTGTGAAGCTCAAGTTGCTCTCATGCTGACCTCAAGAGGCCCAAACCGTCTCAGAATCAGCACGCCGACCCACGCCGGAAGAGACAACGGGCAAAACTTATTCCTGGGCTGGATCATCTTAACTGCAGTCTCCAATTTGGTTTTGCTCTAATTCTTGAACATTGCATCTCCCAAGGCGGGATTTCAACCCTTTGCAAGCAAAGGTGACCAACCAAACAAATGCAAACTTAGGTAATACACATGCCGAGAGCGCAAAAGGCAAGTCAAACTTTGGTGCTATTTCAACAAGGAAAGCAAACGGATTAAGAATCAAAATACTACTTTTGCGGCCCCACAAACCTTGCCGTATCATGCATTCCTTCAAACTACTGTACTTCGCCCCGTCCTCCACAAGGCTGTACAAGCGGATCAAGCGAAACCTCGTCAAGGACCACTTTGGACGACACAGAAGCAACCATCAAATCTCCCAAACACATCGAAGTCTGCCTGCAAAATCTGTTTTGGTCATCAAAGGCATCCATCCTCACCAAGCAAATTCATGTTATAGACTGAGAATGAGGTTGATGTTATCGCAGGATTCTCATCATGACTGGCACCACCAAAAACAACGTGTTACACCAATTACAGTATCTCTGTTGACTTGCTCCACTCACTATATCTATGGTTCATAGTGTCACTGCAAGTTTCCTGCACGTGAACAATAAAGGTCAATGTTCAATGATGCTCAATATTGTTCGCGACCACCTGTTTTCACCAGAATACTGCCCGAATTGAAACACTGTATTGATTTTCTTGACGCAACCACCATTTTGTTGTACCGCCCAGCGCGCGCCAGCCTGCCATTCATGCGCTCTTTCCCACCATGCGCGCACGTGCTGCAGATGCCTCTGATGAAGCAACATCGGATTGAACAAGGTTGCCTGATGAAACAACGCTCAGTCCTGTAACATCCTGCAACTATGGTCCCACATGAATAACCAGGCACATCTGGTGCGTCTGCATTTCGACATGCAGTCAGTTCTTCCATTGGCTCAAATTAGCTAACATACTACTAGCCATGTGTCAACAATGTTTATGCATTTCTCCAAAACTAGTTGTCCGACTTCACCAATCCTCCAAGCTCCGGGTTCCAGGATCGAGACCAATCCAGATTTTCTCCCATCACCGGCCTTGTCCTTGATGAACTCGGCGGAGGCCGTGGCCTTGCCCTGGGCACTCAAACTTGAACAGCTTACAATCTCAAACTTTAGCGATGCTAAGTTGACATGACAAAGATTGACAAAACAATTCAATTAGGAAATCACCATGGTATGAAAATGTATGAAGTAGCACAAACCCGAATCTTCACCACATCAACGCCAGAGGAGATCCGTGACACGGTCTTGCTGCGGAGCTCCTGAAAAAACGTGTTTGTGAAACAGTTGAGGCTTGGCGACGACACCAAATGAGACCAGCAACATCAGAAAGCAACCTTGTAATACAAAAATACAAAACCAACAAAAATTAAATTCTTTCAGTTCTTCATCTTTTTTGATTATATGTACACCTTTCAAGCGGTGGTTTTCCCTTCCATCTTCCGCCAAGATCTCTCACCTGGATCTCCCCGCGTTTCGCATAGGCGCCGTAGCCGGCGGCTCCGCCACTGACGGCACCTGCGGTCGCACCCACCTCAAGGGTCTTCACAGAATAGCGTGGAAGGAGACTTAAAGCCAAAACCACTTGCTGAGTCCTAGATAGCGCGCTATTGGGGTTCTTCAAGTGTACGAAGAGGTGCCTGTGTGCTTTGTACTAGTAGCCTGGTGCTGGTGCCGCTGCATGCTGCCGCTGCCAGTGTGTGGCCGTGCTGTCTGGGGTCTATGCTGGCGTAAACAAACACCAAGGTACAAAAGGTACTTTCAACAAGGGAGGGAACATACGGAACACATGGCAACACTAAGTCACTGAGCTGAAGTTGAAAGGCAATGAATGGGTAGAATCTACACAGTGACAAGGACACTGTCGAGCTCTTGACTCCTCATTCGCCCTCTGCTTTTACAGTGTGTTGCTACTTCAAACGTCCAAATGTTCATGCAAGGTCCACTCAAATCATAAGACTGGAAGACTCCCCAGCATGAAATACAGCTCGTCCTCATGCAATGCGTGCAGTCCACTTGCGAATCCAATTATATCCAAGCTTCGGCCGTACCCATGAAGAGCCCAGCACCACCTTGCCACGATTGGAAACAGAGTTTGCGTGCGACTTTTTGCAACGGTTAGAATACAAACATTACACTTTCGCACAATCACAATCAATCCAGGAAAACAAATAAAAAACAACACCACAGGATCCGTAGCATCACCATGACCAAACATGCAGCTGCTGCCTCCCAACACAGCTCCCACAGGGATGGAGAGTCCGAAGGTGAAGAGTGCTGGAACCACCCCCACCGCAGCTCCAACAGCAGTGCCAGCACACAGGCCAGTGGCAGCACCTGTGCAGGAATCCAAGCATTGATTCTAAAAGGCGGGAATTGCGGAAAGTACATGTATATTGGTGAGTTAAAACAATTTTCTTTAATACTACAAACATCTTTAAACCAACTTATGCAAACATGTCGCACCTCAACCGCCTTTCCATATGTTGGGGGGCTACATGAGGTTTGTCCATATGAAGTGTGAGAAAGTGAAAGACCTGTACAAAATATAGATAACCCATGTCTGTCTTAATGAAACCCTTGGGGCCACTATGCATACAAATAACAAATTAGTCTGCGAGCACGTTCAAACGCGGGTGCAAGAAGGTAGCTTGACCAGTACTTTTTCTAGTGACTTACCTTTACGATGTGTGCGCTTTTCCCTTTGCGTTGGTATACTCTGCGTTCAGCATGTACAGGACATTTCTGAACAAGCATGAAGCATAAGGCGTATGCAATGGAATGGCGGTGGAGTCATTGGAAATGAAAGGTGCACGTTGTATTTCTTTTGTTCAAGTTGAGTGCATCGTGAAACCCAAAACAAACAAAGGAGGATGCATCTGTTTTAAAACACCCTGCTCGAAGGTTGACGGCCTGCTGCTTCAAGCTTCTGTGGTTTGGTGATTGTAACTTTACCTCTGGTGATGCAGTGGTGCATAAGAGTTTCTGGATATGCAAGAGATATATATATATATATTTGATTATATTTGTTTTTGTTGAGGCATGAGTCATATCTCCATAATTCTCAATATATTAATTCACCAAAATGAAGAGCATAACTAGTGGACGACAAGCACATACCATTTGATGCCCAAATTGCCGAGTTTAATCGGCCTTTCTGGGTGAGGCCAGGTTAAATGATTGAAGCACACCCTTGCATTGTAGCCCATCGACCCCAGAAGAATGCCCATTCAGCCACCGCAGGAAGCTCTTGTCAGTTCTAGCCTTGATCTTCAAGCATTCTGCATTTATCTGCAAAGTCGCATGCTTTAGGAAAGTCTCCAAGAACACTGAGAACACACATCTGTGTGCATATCCATGATCATCCAAAGATATCTGTATCTTCCAGCGGCTGTCCCTGTTTGGACACTGAACAAGCAAGGCTCGGTGCCCAAAGGCTCGGTGCCCACCGGGCTGCGCACCTGTGCTTCCCAGCGTGGTCATGCCACCTGCCACGCCCAGAGCAGTGGCGCGCACGTGGCCATCCTTGGCAAAGGCGCTGGCCTTGTCCTTGGCCTCGAATGGACGAAACGTGCATCAGATGGTGATGCTCCAAGAATCCCACAAAACAAGTGAAACACCAAACATCAAGAGCACAAAGATGCACAAGGTTTGTATCAATATTGGTTGCTACCAAATTGTGCAGTCTTTCTCTATCCAAACACCATCAAGCGTTCATTCAGCGTGGGAATGACGCTGGAACTCTTTTCGAGGGGTCTCTCTTTGATTGACTGGATCTTCCTACACACACATGACACATCTTCAATCTTTAGTGTTGAACACACATGACACATGAGCCATGTGATTCTAAATGGCTTTACGACAGTCCCAAGGCCTCGTTGGCTTTGGCCTTCGCTTGGTCCACTGTCTTCAGGGCACGCGAGCGCCCAGCAGCGACGCGGGCCTTGACGCCTCCAAGGACCCGTGAGGAGTTCTACTACATGGCCTCCAACCTAATAGCCATGGTCCACTGTTTTCAACATCCTCAAATAAACACCAATCAACCACAATCAATCCAGGTATGCACTTGCTACTGGTAGCAGTAGCAAAGGACATGACTGATTCTTCTTCCAACTCCAGATTGGTCATATGCGAATGACTCAATTGCTTTAGCAACACTGAAGGCCGGATGAATAAACACAACTCATCTTACTGGTTCATGCAAAGCTCCTTGTGCAGTCTGCTGAGCACGATCCCGGATGGCTTTGCGAGTGGATGCAATGAAGGCAACGCCAGTGGCTTTTGCATTTCGATAGCTGCTCCTGAAAGAGTCTGCAGTGCTAGGATTGGTCGAAGAATCCATATTGCTCCGCAAATCTCCGCAATGCACTATTCAGCAAACAGCTTCTGGACAAGACACAATAATATAAAAACTGTTCGTGAAACGTCCTGGCCGAATTGTCCAGGCTGGAGATGCCGAAAACCACATACTGGCGGAAGAGCTGCGCATTCTCACGAGACCAACTCCGAAGTCCATCCTGTCGCTTGGTGGCCAAGCCATGTCGTTGTGCTGGACATGTTATGTTGTTTGGCACTTTTTCTGCAGTTTCTCATCCAAGAAATCCCAAGAGCGTTCCTGAACTTCTGTCCCAAAAAGCAACCCTTTGTTTAATGGATGTATTTGTTTAAAATCTACACGACAAATTTCCGATGTCTTGAAGCTTTCTTTCAATTCTGACACTACTGAAACACTGAGCATGTCCTTCCGCAGCTTGCTGTAACTGCTGCCTGCGGCCTGCTTGGCGTATGTCAACCTGCATGATACAGGAAGCCACTGCCGTCTGCGTGATACAGGAAGCCACTGCCGTCTTCTTCTAGAGTCTCCCCTACCAATCGAAAACAATGAATTTTATGGAATTTTCATTCAAGCTACCATGCTATCATCACTTCCGGACACTTCCGGCACCATTTCCAAGCGGCTGCAAGCAACCCCGCCTCTTTGCTGCATTGGCTTTCAAAGACTTCGCAGAAGTCAACAGCATCTCGACTCGCGCGACCTTTCTTGACGTCACAGTTGTGGACGAAATCACTTGAAATGAGAATGAAGACAATACACTAGAAGTCGCACCATCGAAACTGGGACGACATATTGCTGGGTGGTTGGATGGAATTGAACATGCAGCCTGGAGGCTGCATTTGCTTTCACTTGCTGGACTGTCTCCATCACGCGGCTCTTGACTGAAGCGACTGACTCCAGGCCTTTCACCTGGTGAGCTGAGCTTCAGTGAATTATTGTAGCGATCACACGGGAAATTGAGGAGGTTCAGGGAGGCTTTACTAAAGCATGCTAAAGCTACAAGGAGGTCTTCACAATGACGAAGGACACCATATGGCATCAGCAGTTGGATCGTGCTTTGGTCTCAGCAGCTGATGAAACACTATGTCTGGGCACTCAAGTGAGCCTGCATAAAAACCCATGGGTATCCATGGGTAATCTCACTAAAGTCCAAGGACACGGCAGAATCGCTGACTACCATTCGACAAAAGCATCCCCAAATACGGATGTATCCTCATCATCTCATCTCCAGCAGTCTATACGGCCCTTTTGAGAATTCGCAGGTTCGCACAGCTTGACCGAATCGCACCTTCAGTGCCTGGACCTTCACAGTCGCCAAGTCCAAAATGTCCACTGCTCGCGCCTGCGTACGACGCTGGACAGTCTCTCATCACCGAGATCGACATCGTTTGTGAAAAGACGGTGCAACCGTCTCAAAAATGAAGACCTTCAGAAGTGATGAAGACCGTCTCAAAGATCAACGCACGAGATCACCATGTGTTTCTTTTCACACCACCTTCGTATCTGAAAGAGACATTCATCATGTCTGCCATTTTATCTGAATGCCACAAAAGAAAGGCAGCCCCAGTTTGGCAGCCAAGATTGGAAGAATCAGATTTATATATATATATATAAACATCATAAGAGGTCATGAATCATGATCGATTCATAACAGTGATACAATATAAGACTCCTCATAAATAACATACGACAGCACCAAATAAGGGCCCGCTAGACCCCCTTGCCTTGGTTGCCATGATGAGCTTCATGCTCTTGCTCTTCAAGGCGCTCAAACGTGACGGGATCTCAGCCTTCACAGCGGAAGAAAGACTCTGCTCCGTCTTGACCTGGAGCAAAGCAGTGTCAAACCCACCATGAGCTGGATTTGGTTTGTTTCTTTAAAACCAAGATTGGCTATCAAGCCCTTCGGCCCTTCGTGATTTGGTCAATCATCCGCATTTTCGTCAAGCTCAGCCTGATATGGCTCTTTAGATCTGAGAACCGTTGGACTTTGAGAGGGAAGGAGGGCTATGGACGAAAAGTTTGGAACTTGCATTGGTTCAGCCGGCCGAAGCACATCAAATGTGTTCAGCAATTGAGGCTTTCGAGGTCCTTTACGATCTTACAAAGGATAAGGCTTGAATATCCACTGAACGTAACACATCTTGAAAACATTTAACAGTTAACATTTGCTCACATCGACATGTGATGGACATTGGAGGACCAACTGGTCAAGCCCTGCCCTGCTCTTGCAAGCTGGTTGCAGTCTTCATCTTTCCAGCAGCCGACAAAGGAAATCGAGGGTTCGAGGTTGATGCTGAATGCTGCAGACAAAGAAATGGACTCGACAGGTCTCAAAGAAATGGAACAAAAGAACTGAAGAGGTTTTGGATCCCCAGTCAAGCAACCTGAGTCATAACCCTGAGAACTGTTGCGGCAGTCCTGAGCAGATTCCTCCTTAGCTTTGGGCGGATACTTCTGCTGGTAGCCTCGTGCTTTCACGAGCTCTTCTCCTGATATCGTTCCAGATTGTGCAGTCATTGGAGCTTATACATCCAGGAACATTACCTCAAGTACGAAGACATCACACAACGGTGATCGCTGAGTTAACACTTTGGATAAACGGCAGGAAGCAAGGCTTTGGTGCTGAAAAGTGCATGCGGGCAATTGCCCTTTGTTACTTACTAGTAGCTTCTTGTTCCTGGTAGTATGGCCAGGAGCTACTAGTAGCGTCCTTGCTCCTAGTAGTAGCCATGCCCTTTGTTACTAGTAGCTTCTTGTTCCTAGTACTAGTAGCGTCCTTGCTCCTAGTAGCGATGCCTTTTGTTACTAGTAGCTTCTTGTTCTTAGTAGCATGAACAGGAGCTGCTAGTAGCGTCCTTGCTCCTAGTAGCGATGCCCTTTGTTACTAGTAGCTTCTTGTTCCTAGTAGTATGGTCAGGAGCTACTAGTAGCGTCCTTGCTCCTAGTAGCGATGCCCTTTGTTAGTAGTAGCTTCTTGTTCCTAGTAGTATAGCCAGGAGCTACTAGTAGCGTCCTGGCTCCTAGTAGCGATGCCCTTTGTTTCTAGTAGCTTCTTGTTCCTAGTAGTATGGCCAGGAGCTACTAGTAGCGTCCTTGCTCCTAGTAGCGATGCCCTTTGT